AATTTAGCTTTGAATTAAGTCAAAAGAAAATAAGAATAATACAAAATAAAGAAAGCAACTAATATTGAAGCTTTGTGGTCTTGAATCTCTCTTAATTGCTCTTGTTTTCTTGCTTGATTCTTAGCTCAAAATCTCCAAAAAAGCTGCTGCTGTTTTTTCTCAAAAATTCTCTAAAAAAGTTCCTTAAATAAGCACAAGTTAACCTAATTTTCAATTTTCCGTTAGAAATTTTTTTTTATGGAAACAACGCTCGCTTCACTTTGAGAGTCGCGACCCTCCAGTGTTCTATCTTGTGTTGCTCTTCAATGCAGGACTCTATTTTTGACATAAATTTTGACTACCTTCCACTCTGAACTGGGAAAGTGATAAATAGAAAAGTTGACTTTTTTTTCAGCGTTTCTATTGGTCTAAGAATCACCTCATAACTGTGATCCCCATATATGAGCCGATATTTACACTCGTAGTTTTTAATGCATTTAATTACAAATTTTCATTCGTCTGACCAAAAAAAAAACAAAGCAAGAATGAGAAAGACAAAATGAGACAAGGGTCGGTTTGGTAACTAAAAAATAATTTGTTAGGAAAAATTTTTTCTGTGTAAAATATTTTACAAAAAAATTTAATATTTTCTATTGTTGGAATAAACTGTCGAAAATATTTTTTTATTATTTAAATCATCTTGTGGAAAATATTTTTCACCATCATTGTTGAAGTTATTTGGGTGTTAAAATGATAAATAAGAGTTGATTATAAAACAATGGTGCTATTTGGTTTTCACATTAAAATTAAGAATGAAAAGGAAAATGGAGAATATTGATAATGATATTTTTTAAAACATTTAATCACATGTTATAGTGAAAGTAATTTTTAGAAAATTTCTATCTCATCATCTTTTACCATCAAACTATAAAATTATCAATATTCGTCAAACTTACCATACTAAGCTTAGTAGAAGCAATTTTTCTATTTTCAGTAAAGTGTCTTATGCCTCTCCAGAGGTAAGACATTTTAGGCGTAAAATATTTTATGTGATCAATGTGTATTTTTGTTATTGATCCGTAAAATGTTTTACATGTAAAATAATTTTTTTATCTATCAAATAAATATAAATTCTAAATACATTTTTCAGAAAATATTTTACGATGAAACAAATGGATCCAAAAATGACAAATGAAAACAAATGGTAAAAATATAGTATAAAACCAGCTGGAACAAAAAAAAAAGCAAAAATAAAAAACAAAAACAAAAAAGGGTAAGAGAAAATGGGAACCAACCAAAGTAACGAAGAGAAAGAAGAAGAAAAAACTTGAGGAAAACCATAGCTAAATAAAATAAAAAACCCTGTAGTGAAAAGGGTGGAGCAAATGAAAAAAAGAAAAAACACCTTCACACAAAAAGACCAAAAAATCAAACGCCCAAAACAAAAATCTTAAAATACTCTCTAAAGAAAGGAACTTCCTCAATTAAAAGTCCAAGGATACTCTGCAAATGAAAAAAATGCCAACAAAACCATAAAAAAAATCTCTAACATGATGCCACGTGGGCTTGCAGCGTGTGTCAAACCGGCAACATCCACCACGAGGCAAGCCACGGGTCTCACATCCTCTTCCAAAGACCCAATGCCCCACATCACCCAATTGAAGCCCTATGGGAAGTTTCTCCAAAGATACTGCCAAGCATTCTAATCACACGCTACTTGTTAGACAATTGGCTAGTTCAGATGCCGTCCGACTTTTAATATAGGGTTATTGATTAATACATTCAATTAAATATTATTTAACACATATTTGTTTATTTAATAGAATAATAATAATAATAATAATAATTTTTATTAAATTAAGAGAAACAATTAATTAATAACAAAATTCTTTTGAGTTAATATCACCTGAATTATTATAAAAAAAAAAAAGGAAAACCAGTTTTATTGCCTTTCCTATTGCTGCGATTATTCTGTACATATGTACCGGGACCTACACTCTGTCTGATTGAAATATTCAAAAGCGTCTCCACCCCCCACAGTTACGTAGCAATATTCTCATCAACTTTATCTATAAGACTATATAGGCCAACAAAAGTATACGCGTCTTTCTTCGCCGATTTAAGGAAATCCCATCTCTCACACTTGTAATTTCCCTCTCATCCTTTTTCTCTTTTCTCTGCCAACTACCTAGCCTGCCTGTTACACCAACTAAAGCCTGTTAAGTCATTGATCAAATAGGACAAACATAGTCATATAAGAATGTAGCAACTTGACAGCTCTTCAACAACCATTTCCTCCTTTAACATAACATCACAATCCCAACAGGCAAACCTCACTCCTCGCTTTCAAGCTTTGCACCATAACAACAACTCGAGAAGGTTCCTCTTCGAGCGCCGTCTTCTCGTGGCAATAGTTTTGTTGTTTGTCACAATAAGGGTCGTCAACTTCACTGCATGGCGCATCCTTCATCCACTCCCTCCTGTTTTTGAAGTCAACTCATTTAACAATTCAAACGGTTCCCTAAACACAGCGCTAAACCATGGTTGTGACATTCTATTTACCATTACAAACGTGAACAAGAAGCTGAGCTTGCTTATGGACCATTTTGAAATCGTTTTGTTTCAAGGAAAAACGAGGAATTCAAAAGAAATGACGCCTGCAGGTGAATCGCTGTACCTAGAGAAGAATAACCCAACAAATTTTCCTATTCATGTAAGGGTGCTTCAGCTACTGGTACCTTAGTCCTGCAGGTGAATCTCATGGAGGGTTTTTTGCAGAGATTTGAGTGTAAGATTTGTATCTCTAGGGATCTTATTGGTGGAAGAGGGAAATGCTCATTTCATGTTGCCTAGATTAGTTAGTCCAATTAATATCACTTGACGTGGACTCTTAATGTCTGTTCCTAGACATCTCTTCTTCGGCCTCAGAATTTTTCTGAATAGTTTTCTCAGCTACTGATATGGTTTCTTAGACAACAACATTTAATAGGTTCTTTCGTTGCAGAAGTGGTTTTTAATTTTTTTCGATAGTTTTGGAGATGGGAGAGACATTCGAAACTTTGCACCCCCTTGGTGAGAGATGCAGCTTATACCTATATGTTGGTAAGAGTTGTTTTGATATAAAAGTTTAGACAACTCTATGATTTATCATTGTTAATTTGTTTCCTTATTATTTTCCAATCTTTTGTCAACATCTTCTGTTTTTCCATTTCCGTTTTCTGCTAATGTTCTTCCCAATAATTGGTTTTCTAATGTTTGGAGTCATATATATGCTGTGAGTAGTGACCATGCAAGGAAGCATATTTGAATATGACTACTTTTATACTTTATACTAGATAATTATGATTAATTAAAAGGTGGTATCAAAACATCAAATATCAAGAATTCATTTGAATAACCTATTGCTTTTAAAGGGAATAACTTTTTGTTGATGTTTGATGTAAGGATAATCTTCAGACTACCTTTTGTCGATACCACATCAAAAGTCGAGGAATGTTCATGTAAAATTGTCATCACTGTAAAACAGGTGGCTGCTCAGTTATATTCACGGAAAGCAACTGTAACTATTTATAACCACTCGGTTCGGAATTTCCTTGCAAAACAAACAGACAAAAGTGAAGTTAGACAGCGGTTTTAGTATTTTTAGTATGTACCATTGAAAGGGAAATTATTTTGAATGTTTGATTCATGTTGTGTTTCGGATGATGGTTCAAACCCAAGTCCTCAATGGTTAGATGCCTTTTTAAAAGTCTTAAATTCACATTTAGAGAAAGAGTAAAATGAGATTTATGATATGGAGAGACATACAAGTGGTTTTATTTATTTTTGAGTAAAATATTTAGATCTTTTAAATTTTAATTGAAATTTAACATTTCATTTAAAAAAAAAATCTTTCGCTGGATAAATAGGTCTAACCATTAATCAAGTGTTAGTATTTTTATTAATTTGATAACGTAAAAATATTGAAAAAATAATTTATCTTTTATTAATTTGAAAAATTACTATTATATAATTTTTTTTTGAAAAAAAAAAATTCAAGGGAGCATGGTGATTGGAAGTGTTGTTTTTGGTAGTGCAAGCAAAATGAAGTTTCATATATTACCCAAAAAAGAAAAATTCGTTCATGGTTTTATAGCTTGGTCATTTCTTTTTTGATTACTCAAAATAAATTGACTAGAAAAAGTAATTTACCAGGATAAATTTTGATACGTATATTATCACTGGAGTTAGACCAAATAATAAAAATAAGGATAAGCGAAGGTAAGTAGCGTGGTTAAGGGTTGATTAATTAGAGCTATTGTATGAGCACCAACATATATATATATATATATATATATATATGCATGTTCTGGAAGGAATAGCTTGTTACCATAAGCAGTCATATATGTATGGCATTGGTGGCTGAATGAGAACCAAGCATGGTTTGCATTGCACTATTTGTGCAGTCAAATATGGTGATGCTTCCGCTCCAGACATTTTTAAGGCTTGTTAGCATAGTTTACATTCTTTCGCTGCTTTGTAGTCTTCGGAACAAAAACACCCAAAACAACCTGAAATGTGATTTGAATGGATTTGTCTGCAGTCATTTTCTTTTAAATCTTTTTTGTGTCTTCAACGACGTTGCTGTGATGCCACTCGCTGACACGTTTGCTAGCCTACGCTACGTGCATGTCCCTCGGGTTCCTGGAAGAAATTACGTCAACTTCTCTTTGCTTTTCTATTTGCAGCACCGTCTTTACCTGTGGACTTGTTTTTTGTCATTTAGCTTAAAATATTCAAAGCACGTGGCTAATGGGGCCCTCTCCCGTTTCCACGGAGGCAAAAGTAGTGGTCACGCGTCCTTGTTTTCTATATATTCAGTCCCTCCCTCTCCAGCCTCCCCTCCCATTCCCATTACATTATGTTTTTTCCTTCCTCTTTCTCTTTCTACCTCAGGCAACAAGCTTAGGCAATTAAACTAACAATAGCCCGCCTGTGAGTTTATTAATCAAGTCAACTAACACAAAGATACTGCTATAACCATGTCTTCAACAGCCAATTCCTCCCTTACCTTTAGTATAACATCCCAAAACACTCACGCTCTGCAGCCTAATAACAACATTTCAAGAAATTCCCTCTTGGTCCGTCGTCTGATCTTGTCAATACTATCATTGTTTGCAATAATCAGCCTCCTCAACTTCATCGTATGGCGTATCATTCATCCTCTGCCTCCTGTTTTTGAAGTCGACTCCTTTTGCATTTCAACTACTCCCCCAAAACACTCACCCCTCACAAGCACAGCTTATGACATCCAATTCGGCATTACAAACCCCAACAAGAAGCTGAGTGTGCTTATGGACAAGTTCGAAATTCTCGTTTTTCATGGGAAAAACATGATTTCAAGAGAGCGGATGGGACCTGTGTACCTAAAGAAGATGAGCAAAAAAAGTAGCAATATCCCAAGGGACTTACCTCACTTGCATGGAAAGATGCTTAAGTTCAAAAGCATTCGATGGAGCAAACGGGGAGTGACCTTTGATGTCAAAGTGAAATTTCAAGTAAGATACTTGGCTTGGAGTTGGTTGCCCAAGAGGGCAGACATGGAGATTTCTTGCAGAGATTTGAGTGTAAGGTTTTTATCTGCACAAGGGAAAGGAGCTCTTATGGGTGGAAGAAGGGAATGCTCAGCTCATTTTCAATAGACAAGTGCTCGAAAAAAGAGAAAAGGTTGATTAGTACTCTTTTATCTGTTCCAAGACAAAAGCTACACACACCTCTTCTTTGGGCTCGCGATAATCTTTATGAATACTTTAGTCAGCAATACATAGTTTATAGAGGAAATACCGATATAGTGTCTCAGTTTGAGAAATTGTTATTTAGCTTTGGAGAGAGAGAGACAGCTTTTATTAACCAAGTTAAGTTATATTATGTGTTTCAGCCATTTGCCTAAAGTTGTTTTGATATAAAAGTCGTATTATAATATATGTTTGTGGAGTCATGAATTGAATGGTTCGACTCTGGCTCTGGGGGTGCGAGTTTGATAGGGTAATGCACTATGGACAGAATGGGGGTTATGATATGGCTGTCTTGTTAGGATAATTTACAACTCTCCCCTGTTTCTTAGTGTAATTTTGACTGTCCTTACGTCTGTATGCTGTTGCTGCCCTTACTCGAGTGGTTCTGCATAGGATGGTTTGGCTTGTTTTGGGGCTATTGTTGTGTATTTTTAAACCCCCAGCCCAAGCACTTGAAGCTTTTTTTTTTTTGCTCTTTTTTATACAGAAAATAGAACCACCAATGACTTTAGCAGCTAAAGGACCGTTGTGTTTGTGACAACGGTTGAACTTATTAACTTTTAAATTTTTTTTTTTGAAAAGCATGATCATTTTATTTCCTTAAGCGAATTGGATTTCCCCTTGTACCTTACATTAAAAAAATTCATCAGGGCAGGGGTCAAAAGGAGAGTATGAAATGAAAAGACCCTAGATATACATAACCAAAACAGAGGTGCCCCCAAAACTAATACTTCCTAACCCAAATCAACACATAAAAAGAGAAAAGAGTAATTTATTCGAAATCTTTTACAAGCACTTCCTATTTCCCAAACATCCATAAAACTGCATCAGACAAGTGCAAAAACATTCATAATTAGCCAGCTACCCTGGACAACATGAAGAAGCAAACTTATTATTAAACCACATTTTCAGCGTCCTTGGTTTGAGTCGTTCTGCAATTTACCCCCTTTTCTTTTTGGTGGCTTCCGTGCCTTTGGACTTGGTTCCGGCTTTGGCTTTTCAATGCTTTGTTTTTCTGCAAAATCCAAAAGAGCAAATTTCTTAAACACAAAACCAACGTAAATTTAAGCAACTCAAATCTTACTTACAATAAAAGTAACAAGCAAATGAAATTCTTGAGATTTAATTGAAACTTTTATTATAGAAAACGATGGATAAACTAGTAATTAATTTGCCCTTACTCTGCGCAACTATTGCTCGAGCTGAGGAAGGACTGGTGGAAAGCAAGAGAATGAAAACTATAAGAAATGCCTTCATTTCTGGGGCAATATGCAGCTAGGCTTTGCATGCTCCTTTCTTGTGTAAAGCATCTTCCCCTCCACCCTCCATTTTATAGCCCCATTCTAGTCCCTTCAAAACTCAAAGTTCCAAGCATGATAATATTATAATTTGACTATCACCTTAATTTATTAGATGTCGTAAATTTCAACACGAAATCGAGGACTTCCTGTTAATATATTTGTTGCTTTTCTAAAACTTAATGATAAGCTTAGAAAATGATTATACAAGTGGGTAAGTTTAAGATATGGCTAATAATAGTAATCTGTCCTAATCAATTTGTGTACTTTAATAGGAAAGCATAGGAAGTGGTTTCTCCGATCTTTCTTTGACGCTCTCTTTCTATTTCTTATATAATGACAAATACATACATAAAAAAGGTTTATGTTTAATTTATTTATGCTTGAGTTGACTCTTTTGCTATCACACTATCCAACGTTAATTACATTTTCTTATAACTTTAACCAGTATTAATAGACACAATTAATATTTCTCTTTCTTTCAAATCTAATTAGTTAGTTTAGACTACACATCAAAAGGTGTAGATATGACACAAAGAAAAAGCCACAAATTTTGAGGTACTCATACTTGGAACTCAATGATGAAATCTAATACATATGTCTAATGTTCTACGCGAATCCCATTAACAATAATCTATCCAAATTCAAACTTGATTATTTAGTTAAAAATGATTTTGGCACCTATTACAAAATTTGGTACAAAATTCCATCCGGTCTGAATTCAATAATAAAATAAATAAATTTTTTAATTATTTTTGTATATTTAATTAATCAAAATTAAATTAAAAGATTTAAAACATACATTTAATATTCCAATAATTTATAAATTAAAATAAATTGTTTGTCAATTGCAAGTAAAACATACATTAAAAAAAATGCAAAATTAACATAAATATTTAAAAATTATTATTTATAATCGAGTTATTTTAAAATTAGTAATCGTGATTTATCCAAATCATTTATAAGGTACCCTAATCTTATTTATATAAGTCAAATAATATTGAATATCCGTTTCGTGTTTTCCAATTCCTAAAGAGGTAACCCTTATCCTCCCCTTAAAACTCCAATTTCCAGTGAAAAAGGAAGACCATGCATGTAGCGATGAGTTGAACTACTGATGGCTTGTATTTGGAATTGTGATGTAAGCAAAGATGTTGGAGAATGTTGATGTTCAGTCTTGTACAAGAGCATAAGAAAGTTCCCCATCATTATTTAATTATTATAGGTTTGACATGCAAACTCACAATTTACCAATTATCACAATTTATTTCCCAATACAGTTCGCGCACTTTAGAAAGGCAGCTAGGCTGAAGATGAATAAGAGGAAGCAGTCATCGGCCTTGATCAGTTTTCTCGGTTGGATCTGATCAACGCCGTCCTTTGCATTTACCGTTTTTATGCTTTTTACACTTGGGACTTGGCGATGGCCTTGGCTCCGTTGGACTTGGTTCTGGCTTCGGCCTTGGGTAGCTATTTTTCTCTGCACATTAATCAACACAACCGAAGCTTAGCTACTAAAAGCAACTCAAAATATTTAAGCTAATCAAATTCTTATCCTTTCGCATCAACACAAAAACAAACAAAATATATGTATGTATATATATATGCATAAAGTGGGATTTAGGGTTTATTGCTTTAGAAAACGATGGAAATAATATAATTAAAAGATAAAGGATGAAGAATTTTGCATAAAACATCTAATTAGTTGATCTTACTATGGGCAACCAGTGCTCGAGCTGAGGTAGGAGTGGTGGAAGTAAGAAGAGTGGAAACCAGCAAGAGAATGCAAACTATAAGAAACGCCTTCATTTTGGGCAAACAGCTTTTGTTTGTTGTACTTTGTCGTGTAAGCCCATCTCCCCTCCAATCCCCTTTTTATAGCACCCTTCAAGTGCGTTCAACGGTCAAAGTTCCACGCAATCACCATTTTTTTTATAATTACTTTATCCTATTAGATGACGAAATTCAACGCGGAATGATGAATTAGTGTTTTCTTTATTTTAATTTTTTTTCATAAAATTAAACCAAAACTCTCAAATGATGGTAAAGTGTATAACTTATAGCATAGAGACAAAAGTTGAAAGAGCTCCTCTTCATCGGTGTCATATATTAGAGCTTCATTGCATTCTTATTGAATCTTAATAGTAGCAACCTAACCTTATCATCTTGTAGACTTTTAATAGAAAAGGATGCGAGATCTTTGGTTGATGATCTCTATCGATTTGGCTGTGTTTAATTTATACTTGATTGAGTTGACTTGAACTGCTATCCAGCTAACCCCTTTGGACTGCAATTATTTTTTTGTCATTCAAATTCTTAATTCCTTTCTTCCACATTGCTTTTCAATCTCAAGCAATAAATTAATCTATAAAGCTACATTGTTACCGTTTGGGAGAAACAAACTAACAAAGGAAGATCAAGACAAGTCTTCCACATGATGTGAAAGATCTCCCTTCAATTTTGGCAACAATAAAGACGCAATTATACTTTAAACTTGTTCATTTCACTTGTCCTACCAAATTTGTAGTATTATATCATGTGGTAGGTGACACTAGCAAGTCAAGATGCAGATGGCAATTACCATGTAACATCATCCATACCCCCTTTTTCAATTAACCATTTAAAAATGGTCCAAGTAATCGCTTTTATGTTACACACATGTATTAAATTTAGTTGATTTTCATATATTTTAGTTGTCAAAATTTTTTTTATATTATTAATATATTTATAAAATGAGATTAACAGAGTAATTGGTCTTGTCAAAAAGTTAAACCAGGATAACTACCATTTCATCTAAAAGTGTCAAAATAATTGGCTCTTAGACTTGAGCTTTATAGATGATTTCCTTCTTCAGCAATATCATTACCAATTGTCAAATAAGGACTTCTTTTAAATATATATTATAGATATAGATTATAGAAAAAAATATAAAAAAATTAAATAACATGACACATGTGAATTAACAGAAGTTACAGCGTGTCGGCCAATGGGGCTACCAAACGTCAGCCTCAAGGGTCGTGGTTCCGACACTCCTCCTCAGGCGTCGCGTTTGCTTCCACTGTGACTGGTTGGTTGTTGTGAATTATTTGATGATGGCATGATCAGTGTCCTTTTGACGTGAGAGCAAAATGACAACAGTTAAGTTATGGGAAATTGGCTATAAATAAGCCCTTGTAGATTGTGTAAATCATTCATTCAATATATTCTCAGCTTTTCTTTTTCCAGCACTCTCCTCTCTTCTCTCCACTTTCTTTTTCTGCAAGTGTGCTTGCTGGTTTGAAGCCTACTGTATGTGTATGCGTGTGCCGGCTAACCGAAAAGTAGTGTGCTGCGTGTGGGTATGCTGAGTGCTTACTGAGTGCTTACTGAGTGGGTGCTGAGCACCAAGGCTGACTTGGGTTTCCTTACCGGGATAAGGGGTGAATCTAAGGCAGCACGGTGGGTGGTCTGAAGAATCGCCCCGTGACAGTCCCTGGACATGGTATTCCTAATAAGCCAGCATACGCATGCAAACCCACATATTTGACTTAACAGCAAATATATGTTTCCGAGTTCAAACCTTTCTTTTTTTCAAATTAAAATAAGATTGTTTCTAGTTTTTTAATTTTCATCTTAATTTTTTAACCTTTTATTAGGGTATGTTTTTTGGACCGTCGTCTAGAAATTTGTCCTAATGTTATGATACCAACACTTTCATCTTATAGACATTGAATTTAGTAATCAAAATCCTGTTACATTCATTTTACTTTTTTTCAGTTGACTTATTTTTTTTTCTTTTGTATGATAAGGTTAATTAGCGCGAGTGGATTCCCGCTCCATCTCTAGCTTTGATATTGATATCTTTGAATCTCAGATGACCACTACCTTAAACATTACTTTCTCAGCAAGAAACCTCGACACGATTTTCTTCAGTTTATTGGACTATCATGAAGTCCTCGTATCTGTTTTCTATCAAGATGAACTTGCCTCTTTTGAATGCATTGGACCGCTCCATCCTGGTCTCTGTCACAAAATAGAACTGTTTAGTGCCAACCCCGTTGCATCGACAAAGAGAATTGATAAAAAGGTGGCACAGTCGATTGGGCAAGAGGACTTGTGTCTTTCACTTTCAAATTGCAGACTAAAGCTCCCGAGCTGGATGTCTTCTGGAAGGATGAAACGGTTGCTTTTGGACATAACTCAAGCACCCTTTTCTATGTTGGGTGGATATACAGCCAGCTGAAGAGTTTGCTTGTATTTATATAGATTGCCTTTTATCCAATCGCAAAAAGGAATTATGTGGAGCTCCATAAAACTTCATGATGAATCTCACACAATTTAGGACTTCCTTTAATATAAACTACTAGTTTGATGCTAGATGGTAAAATTTGTTTTTCAATTGAGCTGAGAATATTTTGTGAAATCGATATACAATAGTAATTATATTATTATATTTAATTATTGATGTACATTGATATGTATAAAATATTGTTTTACAAAATATATAACTATTATTATTGTAGCCATCATTGTGGTATTTGTGGTTGTGTTTTCACATATAAACAGCCTCACCATAAAACCAAACTTTAAATAAAATCTTCAAACTTACCGTAATAAAATTTTTAAACTTACGATAGAATATGTAGTAACTTAATCTTACTTAAAATTCTATCTTTAGCTAGTTGATCTGCACAACATTTCATTAGTTACATAACTCAATCTCTCTCAAAACCCTATTGTTGGCTAATTGATATGCATCACTTTACATTAGTTACATTTAACACTTGAAAAATAAAATATATAATAACTCAATTTCTCTCAAAACTTTATCTTTAACTAACTGATTTGCATCACTTTACGTTAGTTACATTTAACATTGATATCTTTAACTAGCTAGCATGCACCACTTTACATTAGTTACACTTAACATTGAAAAATGATATGAGAATAATAAATAATGGAATAAAATATTTTTTTATAAATAATCACATATAAAAAATCAAAGAAAAATTCTAGAAGTGAAGGAAAAAAATCTAATTCAAACCCAGCCTTAGGCTCATGCCAAAAAACCCAACCATGAACCAATTCCATTAGAGCTCAAGCCCACACGCCAACAATTATGGAGCAAACCAAGAACCCTATCCAATATTAAGGCAAAAACCCATTGAACTTCTTTTAAATATAACAAACCCTTTTTAATTATTTGTAATTTTCAATATCCAATATGTTGTAAAAAGCTTACATTAGATTATTTATTAGCTTAAATAGGGTGCCCACATGCAAGTTTTTTTTTTTTTCATAGTCAAGTTAAGTTAGTAATTTAAAATGTACGTAACTGTTTTTTTTTCATAGTTAAGTTTATTTAATGATCTAAAGTTGTATAATCAGTTATGTGCTTGTTTGTTGATGATGAAGCAAAAGAGTGTAACTGTACAAATTATAGTACTTCTTTTTATTACTCATTTTTCTCTTATTTATGTCCATAAATTTTAAATGATAAAATAAACTTGAATGGAGTATTTCAGTAATGTTAAATTTTATGTTTGTTTAAGAGAAAACACATTTTTTAGCAGTTGAATAAAGTAAAAAACTTTAAAATTTTTATGAGGTTCGTGTACCTTTATATGGTTATCATAAAAAATACTGACATGTAAGCAAGCAAGCTCATGTATTAAATTTAGTTGATTTTCATATATTTAGTTGTCAAAATTTTTTTTATATTATTAATATATTTATAAAATGAGATTAACAGAGTAATTGGTCTTGTCAAAAAGTTAAACCAGGATAACTACCATTTCATCTAAAAGTGTCAAAATAATTGGCTCTTAGACTTGAGCTTTATAGATGATTTCCTTCTTCAAGCAATATCATTACCAATTGTCAAATAAGGACTTCTTTTAAATATAATTATAGATATAGATTATAGAAAAAAATATAAAAAATTAAATAACATGACACATGTGAATTAACAGAAGTTACAGCGTGTCGGCCAATGGGGCTACCAAACGTCAGCCTCAAGGGTCGTGGTTCCGACACTCCTCCTCAGGGCGTTTCAGCTTCCACTGTGACTGGTTGGTTGTTGTGAATTATTTGATGATGGGCATGATCAGTGTCCTGTTTTGACGTGAGAGCAAAATGACACCAGTTAAGTTATACTACACGGCGAAAGGGGTGAAAATGACACCAGGAAAAAAGTTACAAATTTTAACGTACTTGAACTCAATTATAAAATCTAATACATATGTCTCGTTGGAATCCGATTAACAACATTTTATTAAAATTTAAACTCATTTAGTTAACAATGATTTTGGCACCTACTAAAAAATTTGATACATAATCCGATGTGATCCTAAATTCAATAATAAAAAATATATTTCTAATTATTTTTTATTTAATTAATCAAAATTAAATTAATAAATTTAAAAAATACATTTTATATTTAAATAATTTATAAATTAAAAAAATTATTTCTCAATTATAAATAAAACATAAACTAAAACTATAAAAATTAATATAAATACTTAAAAATTATTATTTATAATTGACTTCAAATAGCAGACATATTAAAATTATTAATCGCGACTAATCCAAACCGTTTAAAAAATACCTTAATCTTATTTAAATAAACACATTACAAGACATTTTTCATAGCTTTCCCTGGTGATTTATCAACTTTCTGAAACACATTCAGTATGTTATAAACTCTAAAACCTAAGAACAAATATATACACAAGCAATATCACATCAATAAAAGGACAAAAATCTGTCATGTAATAAAATGCTTACATTCAAAAACATCAAATGAAAAGAACCCTAGAAGAGAAAAGGATATCCATCAACATAAGGTCATCCTCCTTCTCACCCCGATTGCGGCTGTTATCTAGCTATCAAATAATTTGGGGAGTAACCTATATTGAGAAACACACAAGGATAACTGATTATGATTGCCACAAAAATGCAGTGGGAGAAAGCAAAAATTAGCTATTCAATTATGAATGTCGACTGGCTGAAAAGAAAAAAGGTTGTGTCTGTGTGTGTGGGTGAGATAGAGACAAAGAGCGGTGTCTTACTAATTTATGCTTTTGTGTCTCAACTAGAATTCTAAGGTTATCTTTATCTTCCTTGCGCAATGCATTTTTGTACCTGCAAGCGATTTAGATGGCTGTACATGAGGAAAGAGCCAACTGCAAAACCTTTGGATGCAATTACTAGTATTAAAGCATATGAAGCCCCCAACCAATAAGGCATCTACAGGATCATTTTCAGTCATCTCTAAGACAAAGTATTACATAATCCATACTGTTTCCTTAATTATTATGGAATCAATTACAGTGAAATACAGTCGAGTAAACTAAAAATTCCATCAGAAAAACTCAATTACTGCAACATTTAACTCTTAAGTAACCCTTATATTTTCAGGAGGCATACAAATACTTACCCTCCATTAGAGAATAAATTAGTCCAGAAAGATATTTACCATCCATTAGTTCAAGGTAAAGAAAAAGAAATATACATCACCTCCACCCTCTTATTTACAATTTATAAAATTCCAAAAAAGGTCTTGTACCATATTCAAGAAAAAGAGAACACAGTAACTTCAAGCGCAAAGAAAATCAACAAAAATGAAAGAAAATGTGGACGAGTAAATCAATTGTCAATCTATGAAAATGACGACTGAAACAATATCTTGGCCTTTGACTTCAATATACCTCAATGTTCTTCCTCAATGAAGAGACACTCTAATAAACTTCCTCCTCACATTCTTATATGAACAGAGGTCTCCTTCCAAAAACTTCTCGAAAATTGTTTAAACAGGAAAGGTGGATCAATAAATTGTAAAGAGCATCCACAAACAAAAATACCATACAACAAATAAAAATGCCAAAAATGGCATGGCCAGCAGTGTAATTGTAGCTACAAACAGGAGAGAGAGGAATTGGAGAGGACAATGGTGTCTCCCAATGCTGAATGCTTCTTAATTTTTTCATACATTTTAACAATTCTTTTCCTTCAGTTGTTTCAATCAGAATAGCAAAACAAGGGATAAAGCAACTGAGTGATGCTTGACATGTAGATTTCCCTCAGAAAACGCCTATGGGGATATTATCTCATTCAATTGTCATGCATATTCAATAAAACGAGAAATAAGTGTTATTTTCACGTGTTGGAATTTAAGCCCAACCTCGCACAGTCTTAAACTCTGAAAATAAAACTTAAATAAGCCTTAAAACCCACAAATCAGCAGAAGCAAATGAAAGGAAAAAAAGAGAGAGCTTTTGAGAAATAGCATGCTTTGTATTTCTCAAGAGGCAAGACATTATCTTTAACAAATTTACTGACCTTTGCACAAATGCCAGAAGCGACTGATGCCATATGACAGGCATTATCCTTGTATCCTCAAGAAATCTCATAAAATGAGAAACAACTGCATCAACAACACAATATGGCAGAGCATACTTCTTCTCCAAAAGAAGCTTTTATAAAATAACTGCAAAAATTTTTACCAGCAAAACATATAACAGTATGTTACAAAAAAAAGGCAGCAATAGAAAACATAAATTGCTACTCTCTAGATTACTGACCCTGACCCTTATTTTATACAATGCAAAAGAAAATGAATAGATCTTCAAATCAAGATCAAGGAAACCATTAAGCTTGAAGCATGTTAAACTTTTTTTGAGACCCCCCACCCACCCACCCACCACACTCCTTTTTGCTTCAGAGATTGGAGAGAGAGAGAGAGAGAAAGGGGGGGGGGGGCACACAATGAAGAATGTCAAACATTTAATACCTTGTTGCGCCACACTATTCCATCTCCGCAAGCATCATTATGCAACACTGCAATTGCATTTACAAGTTAGATATCCGCCACAATGTTCTGAAGTTAAAGAATTGGACTTTAAGGATTTAGCAACTTCAAGAGACAAAAACAAAACCATGTGCAAAACCTTCAAACCATTTAGATTCAGTGCGAAAAATCAATAAGCAATGAACTTGCTTGTAAAGATCACAAACACCCCCACCACGACCCTTTCATTATGAAGAGATCTAACAACTACAACAATAGTAGCACTAATTTAGACAATTCTTGCACCATATGTAGTTATTCATTTTCACCAAAGTGCTACCAGTTATCCATAATTTTTGCCACAGTCAGCTGAAAGATCCTCAATGTTAGTGATTCTTATTTAGGCATCAGTCATATCCTTTCATTGCAATATCAAGCAACTTACAATAAACGCCAAATAACAGACTTCAGTAACCAAACAAATACAACAAGCCCTGGATACAGTATCTCCACTTTTGCATCTTGGCTCAACATACCCTCCAATTCTAACGTTAGAACAAAGACACCCCAAATATCATATGATTAAACCCAATGCTACCATACCTTGAGTGAAGCCCAGGAATGGAGACTTTTGGAAGAACACTCCCAATAATATTAGCCTCCCTGAGATTGCATGTCCCTGACTGAAAAAGAGCAAGGAAAAAAAAAGACATATATGTTAAAAAAGCCTAAAAGCATTCTATGATAAATCCTAAGAGTCAAAACTGCATCGCATACTATTATTGATAAAGCACTCAAGAGTCCAATTTACTCAGTAAAGACTATGGATACAATTATAAGAAATCTTTAAAAACCATGAGATACATACCAGAAGAATCACAAGGCCATAACAGTTTACTTGCATAGGGTGAAAAATCAAATATATTAGCGAATGCCTTACATACACTAAATTTGGAGCATTTATAAAGGTAAATAAGTGAATACTAGAAATAAACTAAATCCCAAAGTTCATTAAACTGGGCAGAAAGTTGAATACCTTACACAAAGGTAACAATATTCCCTTGTTGAATGCAGCAGGTTGTATAAAGCCTTTTTCAAAGACTGATAAAGTGCAAAATGAAGACGTTTATTCTTCCGAATATCATCTCTAACACGAGGAAGCAAGACTAGCCTATAAAAACGCTCTGCCTTCTTAGCACCCAGATTGGAAGCAAATATTCTTGTGGCTTGAAACATTGCATTCGGAGACCAATTTTCAGGTTCAGTCAAGTACAGAACATCCTCCCAGAGTTGCATAGAAGGAATGTGTTTAAAGGCCTTGGGCATTTTCCCTGCTGTGTATTTGTTCAGAAACTTTCCAACTCTGCACATTTAGTTCACATCCACAATTTAAGGCTTCTGAACATCCTTTCATACATACAAAAGAATCTTAAATACGAAAGGATAGAAATATCACCCCTTATACAAATCTATGAGGGAATCATCCAACTTAGGTAAGGGTCGTGTTTCTGCAATTAAGCAAGTTGAGCAATCAAACAGCATTACTCAGAAAGTAAAATTCTTTCAAAATATCAATAAATTAACCATAAATTAATTAATTTAAAAAAAGTTACCTGAAGCAACATTTGCATCATTCTCCTTGATCTTCTTAATTATAAGGTCTGCAAGCGCCCTTTCTGGACCAGCATTCTTTGACAAGAATGCCTCCAGCAATTTCTCATCTTCCTCATCAATCTCCTCCTATAACATAAAGGTAGGTATTTCAATGTTTACATGATAAAATGCAATTATTTGCAAATTGAAGAGAAAAAAAAAAAGCACTACTATTTTCCCAACAACGTAAGGCTCCATTTTCTTGTTTCTTTTGCCACTTGCTATATATTTCCTTATAAATTGCTAAAAAGAACAATCATATTTGATTAAAAATAAGTGAATAGTTAAAATGTAACAAAAAACATATCTTTTCTATGTAAAAATTAAAATTTTAATTATTCAAAAACATTATTTTCATACTTCTGGATCAAAATAGAGCCTAAACAGCATATTATTCGAGAGAATTAGCTAGTGAACTAAAAAAGAAATGCTTTTTTGAATAAAATTACATGATTAAATAAAGTCCACTTACTTCATAGTTGCCAAACTGACTTTGCGTCTCAGAAAATCCACCAAAATCATCAATATCCTCTTCTTCTTCATGCTTATTCCGCTCTTCTTCAACAGAACCAAATGCGCCATTAAAATTCCCTGCTGAGTCTTCCTCGTCTATTTCCTTCTGCTGAAGAAGCGCTTCTTTCAAGATTTTCAAACTCATCCCATAAGAAATCATCTGCACAAATATATATATATGAAAAAAATTAAAGGAAAAAGAAAAAACAAATTCAAAACGGAGGAAGAATTAAAAAAAAATGCAGGAAGGCGGCTTAATTTTACTTTGTCTTGTTTTTGGTGGTGTTTGGCAGCTTTGAAGCGTTTCTTTGTGGAGGCGACGGAATCGTCATCTGCTAGAAAAGGTTGCGGATTTTGGTTTCGTTTTCTTTTGTTCTTCGCCATTGAGGGGCTGCTTGCGAAAGCAAATAATAATAAAAAGAGAATTGATGGTTGGAAGAGATTCAGAGGAACGAGGGCGAGGCGGATATGGGAATGAATAGGAAGAGACACGAGATCCTAGTGCCACACTTCGCCAGGGTTTTAAGCAGTGACAATTTCGTAATTAAACTATACAAGATTTTCTCCCGTGCGACTCGGAGAAAAATGAGATACAGGACTTTCAAGGCCCAAAAATGGAATTACATATGCCCGGCGAAAAAGAGATCCAAGTTATGAAAAAAAAATTCATTTAAACATTAACTAATATCCACAGTTATATATATATATATATATAATATTGGAGAATATTTTTTAGTAATATAACAGGGAATATCAATCGATGAATTTCATATCTTCAATTGAAACCTTTCAACCAAATTTTTATGATCTTATAAAATATAAATTTCACTTTAAAATTTGAGGTTGTTAAAATAAAATCTCAAATTTAAGAGCTTGGGTGTTTATCTATCACAAATTTATATATAAAATAATAGGAGTATGTATTATCCATATCTCTTCAATTTATTTTAATTTACATTATATGAGAGATTTTATTGGAATTATTTTCGTAAATTAATTGCAAAACTAACATTTAATGCAATTCAATAATTAAAAAACTATTTTTTTCAATATTTTTTCTATTTACTATTCATTTATTATATTTTATTTTCGCACGAGCCTGCTGTATCTTTTCAAGGGATAAAGACATTGGCAAGAATTTCTTCATTTCTTGACCAATTTCCTAACATCTTCACCTTCGCTTCCAAGTTTTCAATGGTCCTGATCGTTAGAAACACGCGACCTCAGAATCAAGCAAATTTACATTTTTAACTGCCTTGACAATTTAAAAGAAGAAAAGAGCAAAAAATATCTTATAGTTTGAATCGAAAGAGCAGGAAAATCCCAATTAACCAACCAAGAATAATGCTAATCTCTTTTTTTCCTAAAATTTAAAATCTTGATAGTACTTGGTTGTTAAATTTAATTGGGCAAAAGCATTAATAACCAAAATCTCTTCCTATTTTTTCCGTCCTATTCTTCTTCTTCACCAAGATCTCATTGAATCCGATCCCGACTGTTAACTCTAAGCAAAGCAAAAGCACACTCTCTTTCGTATTTTCCTTTTCAAAAAATGCAAGACTCTTCCAGGCCCGTAACCGGCTACCCAGTGCAGAACCTTAACGGCTGCGCTCCTCCGCCACCCGCTTCCTCTGCCACTGCCTACCCTTACGTTAACCCCAACCCATACCCTTACTATCCAGCACCGCCGCCGCAAAACCCACGCCCCACCTTCTTCCGCCGCCTATTCTTCGCCTTCGCCATCCTCTTAATTATCTTCGGCACCATCCTCCTCATCTTCTGGCTAGTCCTCCGCCCTCACCTCCCCGATTTCTCCTTAGAATCCCTCTCCCTTTCCAACTTCAACGCCTCCAACCAGCGCGTGACCGCCACGTGGAATGCCCAGTTCCAAGTCTCCAATCCCAACAAGAAACTGTCCATCTCCTACGGCGACGTGGTTTCGTCGGTTTTTCATAAGGATTATTTCTTGACGGATACGAGGATCGGGCCGTTCGTGCAGGGCACGCGCAACGTTAGCACGGTGCAGGCGAGCTATTCGGTGGTTGATTCTTACGTGGAGGACAAGGTGGTGGATGCGATCAATGGCGAGAGGTCACGCGGCGAGGTCAAGTTCAGCGTCAAGGTGCTAGCTGACGTGGCGTTCCGATACGGCGGGTGGAGAGGACGGCGGAGGGTTCTGAGGGTTTGGTGTAATGACGTGGCTCTGAGTGGTTCGTCGGGGAAGATGACCGGTGGGCCCAAAAAATGCAACGTTGATTGATTACCGTGAGTTTTGAGTTTAAATTGCTTCCGTACTTTTTTCTTTTTTTGGAGTTGTTAAACTTTTATTATTATTATTATGGTGCGAACTTTGGTAACTTTTAGGATTTAAAATGATGACAACGTAAAGGAGAATGTATTATTAGTCTCTATTTAATCATAATTATTTGAACTTATGGGTTGTTGGCTGTGCTATTATTATGGTTCCTGGAAAAATACCTTATAGATTTCTGGAATTCCTCTTTGATTTCTCCTTTCAGTTCTGAGTTCTGTAATGTGGTTTTTTGCGAGGCTAATTCCTTTCTTATCTGCAATGAGAATGACTGCGGCAGCGATATATTATTGTTGTGTTTGTTTTTTTTTTTAATATTATGCAACTAAGGCCTTGCCTAGTGTTTTGAACCTTCAACTATGTTTATGCTTTAGATGCTTTAGGAATGATACAGTTTGATCTGAAAAAACGACCAAATTGGTTGCCTCTTGCTAATTACCATAACACTACTGGTACAATAATTGTCATAAAATGGGGGAAGAGTCTCCAAGCTCACTGTCGTTTGACTGGTTCCAGACTTGAAAAGTAAATATTTGCTTAGGTAGTTGGCAGAAGTTTGTATAGGATACCTTGTGGGTGGTGGCCTCATGGTATCGGTGATCCTGATAGACCTGATTAAACAGTCATATACGGAGATTAGGCTGTGGAACTTTTTCTGCTTACTTATCTGGGAAATTTTAGGATTGATTGGGAGTTTTACAATGTTTTTGTTTTTGGCATTTAATGTGGAGGGGAGAGGATTTTTGACTTCAGGTCCTTATGTTTACTGTGAATAGCAATGCTCCATGTTAATTAGCTGTCACTGACTCGTGCTGATCTGGTTAGGACAACGAAATGCTCCTCTCTTTTATCCTTTCTTTTTTTTGCCCTATTTTAGAAACCCATCTTGATTTCCATATTTATTAGTAGTAATTTCATTTCTGAAGTCTTTAAACATACCTTTGTCTAAGGATATGCCAATTGGTGGGTTGGAAGCTCCTTTTCTTCTCTGTTTTTTAATGGATACGAATCTGAATTTTGAAGTAATGTGTAAATCCCTTACTGACTTACAAATGTTATTTTGTGACTTTTACCAAGAATTTCTTGTCGTCTGGTTGTTATTTGCCTCTTAGTAAGATGGTAATCACCATGAAGGATGCAGTTTATCTATGGGTGATTAGCTGTGTGTTTGCTTATGTGTCAAAACGCTTATGTATATAATGTTTCTTGGATTTTGTCTCTCTAGGTACCTAGTTTTAAATCTTTTCTATGCACTTCAATATTCCATTATAATTAACTCCAGAAACAGTGTATACAACTATTCTTCTTTTTCAATTTTACCTGTAACCCTCTTCCTTGGATTTCACTTGTTCATAGTCCATATCTTTTTCTAGGTTTGGAGTGCATTATTTCCTTGTTTATTTTTTGGCTTTTCCTTTTATATTTTCTTTTGTTAGGCATAATTGTATTCCTTACTTATATCCTGCTTTGGTGATTTTGTTTTCCTTGTATCAAGTCCACTCTTTGGTTTGAAGTTCCTCTCAATAAAGGCTCAAACATGGATCTCCAGTGTCATCTGAATCAAGGAAGTGATTGTTAGTTGTATAATTCTGATCTACTCTCTGTGTGTGTGGTTAAACCTAAAAAGAAACTTGGAACCATATTATTACTCAAGTCATTGCCAAGAAACTCAATAGCATGCGCTGTCATTCTTACCGAGCAGTAGTCAACGTCTGTAATGGTATGCTTCTTCAAATTTTTATGTGGGGTGTTTATATCTATGTAATTCCTTTACATTTAGCTCACTTCTGCATCCAATTTGTCTTAGGGACTAGGGATGTAAATGAAAGTTCACTAGTAGGTCGGTTTCTAAACTTAAGAGGCAACAAGGGACGTGCCATTGTCTTCTATCTTCACCATCTTTTTCAGTGATGTTATATGACATTCTTCTGTCTTAGTGTATCCTTCTTTCAACCAACTTTTTTGTCAGCTTTTGCTCTTAATTTTGCAGGGGAGGATGGCTAAGAGAAGGCTCACTATTGTAAACCCTACAGCGTATTGCACGGCCTTTCCCTTCATGTTCATAGTTAAAGGGGAAGAGAAGAAACGAAGAGCAAATAGTTTGAAACGAATTGTCCCAGTGATTTTGGCAGATTTTAAGCTGCTCCTACCACCATACTCAATTTGCTTTCATGTGTTAATATGAATGTAATATATATTATTTTATGGTGTTCATTAGCTATTCTATATGTCTAGAATGGATCAATTGCTGTCATTGCCTTTGAAGTTTGACACACATATCATTCTCGTCCACAAAATTAAATTATTATTGATCAATTCAAAATCCCTGAATTGAAATTAAAAAAAAGTAGGTCCAAAATGTACAAAACTTGGAATGAGCTGGATCAACATATCTCAATGGCCAAGCCCATTAAGTAGCCGAGGTGGAGAAACTTGGGGCTTTTTTTTTGCCTTTTTTATGATTCTGAAACAGAATCAATAGCAAAACTTGGAATGAGCTGGATCAACATATTCCAACACATTTTATATTAATATATATATATATATATATTATATGTAATAATATATATTGTTTTCAACCAAAATCTTGATTGGAACTTGCAAATTTATATGATAAAGTTATACCCGATGACTACTCATAACGAATCAAGCAAAGAAAAGAGAGAACCTACTCTTTCGGTCTTTTTGTTTGATGATAAATGTTGAAGGTATATTCTTGTATCATGTGGCTTGATGAATTTGTTGCATATTCTCTGCTTTTGAGGACAGCTACAAAGTTGGATGAATACAAAGTGAACAAAGTAATGCACGGAAAATCGTGTTAAGATTGGTGGGTTATTTTTAAGCATATATGATCCTTTTGGAAATTTGATACAAGTTCACGAGAATGGATGTACATTGGATATACGATTTAATTCAACCCAAATTTTTTTATTCGATAATAAGGTGAGAAAAGAGGTTGATTAAAATGATTTTGTTGGTTTAATTGCTAGGAACAAGATTAAATATTATTTATAAAAAAGTCTATGTACCAACATGTTTCCCTTTGAAGCCAAGGCATTAAAAAAAAAAAAAGATGGAATCTTTGTGGTCGCTTTCTTAAGCCTTTTTTCAACAACCATATTCTTCTAACATCTTACCCTTTGAGCCTTACAATAATCATAATTTAGAAGAGACATAATCATATGATCATATCTTTAAGCAAATCAAATCACAGCTGGTCATGATCGATCGGCTGCCAACGTCCAAGGACAATGATAGACATGTCAATGACCATGCTACATATCGTCGTTTCATCCTATATTATATATTGTTTACAAAGGAACATCCCTTTCTTCTATATATTATTCAAAAATTTCGTAAATGTCAAGATTCAATAGTGAACTACCCAATTCCTAGCTAGCAAGCAGAGCCCTCCTCTTTTACTAGAGAAACTAACAGGGAATTATTAATACATGAGGCCAAGAGTTGGTGAATGATATGTCATCTTTGCGGGAAAGGCAAGTATTTGTAACGGGCAAATAGATAGAAAAGGTGTAGTTCCAATATTTGTGGCTATCAACCTTTGGGCTAAATGTATCATAATCTCATAAATGACCACATGGCAATGGGGGAATCTTAATTACCCTCAAGTTGTTTGTCGCATTGGATCTCTACATTCATTTCCAGGATGTGTTGACTGCCTCTTATTAATGATGGAATCTCTCTCTCTCTCATTGGAGTTCCCTTTAATTTTAATCAATCAAGAAAATGATATTCAGATTAATTAGATCATATAATTATAAGCTCATTTTAAAACCAGTTTTGTCAAGTGTGGCTGAAAAACCAATGTTACTTATAATGACAGTGTGAGCACGTTTTTGTTTCTTCAAGGGCTTTGATTTTCTTCTTGGCTACCTCTTTAAGGGCTAGAATCTAGATTAAGCACACTTGATTAGGCCTACTAATTTTGCAAAGATTCTTAATGTTCAATTAACCTAACTAAAGGCTTAATTAAGGATATTAAATCTTGTCATTAGTTGTCATTGCTAATTTTTCTCCTATTCATCTACGGCTAATTACTATTCATCTAGAGTTGTCATTGCTTAATTTTTCTCCTACCTTTTATAAAGTTGCTTACTATTATCATTAGTTTTGTTATTCTTTCTTTTAATGGAATTAGTATTAGTAAGTCACATAATTAGTTGGGGGCACTATATGTAGAGCATCCTTTTTCATTTTTCTTCTTCTATTAATTTTCCTTACACTTGTCTGTGACAAATGTTTTACCATGAATGATTGACAAATATTTGATGTATCCCGGGCCGATCCACAGCCATAAAATTCCATGTTCATGCATGCTGATTATATAATAACTAAATGGTCAAAAACTGAGCATGTTAGGTAGCCACAGTTAATTGTACATTCAGAAATAGTTACTCACAGCAACTTTAAAGCTAGCTATGACAAGCTAATTTAATACAATAAGATTAGATCTCCCTGCAATTTCACTTTAACCTCATGTCCACATAGTAATTACTAATTAATCATCATGTAGAGTTAAAGACCGCTCAGAAAGAGGCAGCTTTTTCTTTACTTTACCCTTCTCCTGGAGAAGAAAACCTGGATTCAACATTTCAATTTTCGACCCTCTGTGATACTCCATCTACCACTTTTTAGTTTTAAAGACAGTCGGATTTAACACAAGTCAAATCCTACACCATATGGTCGCTGACTAAGGTGAACATAAGCATCCCATTATTATATTTTTGCTTCCAAGAGTTGAATTTTGGTGGGGCATAATGTACAATTGCCCTGATGTAGAAGCAGGAACCCACCCCAAGGTAAGGTTGCACGAAATAAAACGCTTATATCCCTCATTTTGCACCACCCACCCACCAATTGCCAATTCACATTAATTCTATCTTCCCTTTTGTCTAAAGTCCAATTTGCAATCATACACATGGAAAACCAAAAAAGATGTGCGCATTAAATTAGCACCTCATCAAAACCATATCGCAAAATTAATCTACTCTTCCCTAACTTTAATACACATCTCTATAAAAATGAGTCTCATCTCAGTGTTTCCCTCTTGCTAAATCTATCACTCCAAAAAGCTTCTGATATCTCTTTCTTATTTTCTCAGCTTGAGATCTTAACATCTCCACCACTTAAACCAACTCCACCAAAACCAGCTGCACCACCTGCAGTGATGACGGCCAAGGACTGTGGCCACCACGACGGTAAGAAACAGCTTGTCAAGCGCATAGTGATAGCCATTGTTGGGTTTTTGATCGTCTTTGCCATAGTGGTTTTCCTTGCATGGGCGATTCTCCACCCTGCCAAGCCCCGGTTCATCCTCCAGGATGTGACTATTTACACTTTCAACCTCACAGCTCCAAACTTTCTTACTTCAGACATGCAAATCACTTTATCTTCCAGGAATCCCAACGACAGGATCGGCATTTACTACCAGAAACTCGATATGTACTCATCTTATCGTAACCAGCAGATAACTTTACCGACACTACTGCCAAGAACCTACCAGGGTCACCAGGACGTCACTATTTGGTCCCCATTTTTGTACGGAAATGCTGTGCCTGTGGCTCCATTTCTTGAGGCAGGGTTGAGCCAGGACATGAATGCGGGGTTGGTGTTGCTCAACATCAAGGTTTTCGGGCAATTGAAATGGAAGGTTGGGACTTGGATTTCAGGTCGGTATCAAATTAACGCGAATTGTCCAGCTTATATTTCCTTTACGGATCGAACTAAGGCCATCCAAGTTGGTTCGGCTATGAAGTATCAGCTTGTGCAAATTTGCAGCGTGGACGTTTCTCTTAACTAGTTTTTTTTTCTGTCTCATCCGAAAAAACATAGTTTTATTCTAGTTTTTTTCCCTTATTGTCGGTTATATGACTTCTTTTCATGTAATATGTGACTACTTTTACATTTTTATATATATTCAGTCTTTTTACTTCTTCTGTCAAGCTAAGATGACAAAGAAATTTCTTCCAAATTGAAGGCTTCGAGATTCAATTTTGGACCTTTGCCCACCCCCCTTGAAAGGTAGTCAAACATGGAGTCAAGTTTTGTGGTTGCAGTTCAACAGATTTCTTTAATTTTTAATTTTCTTTTTGTCTGAACAGAGAAGTTGGCAAACTTTTGAAGTTAGTTGAATGTTAGTCTCAATGGTAATTGTAATTGTGACTGTAACTTGTGAAGGAGTAAATTTGGGGTGGATGAACGTAGATTAGAGAGAAAGGGAAAGAATGCCAGACTAACTTGTGCCCATTCCAGGGCTTTAAATTCTTTGTTAATCTTGTCCTGAGTAAATTACAAAAGGGTCCTTTAGTGTATGCATGCATCACTGACTGTGTGTGTGTGTTTTTTTTTCTTGATCTTGTAAGTGGTTATCAAATTCTAGAGTTGCTTGACAGTAATCCTATGTCCTTGGACACTGCAGAAGCCTCAGCAACGTTCTTCAGTCAAGTGAATCATACTTGTGAATTTTTCCTCCTTCTTTTTGGAAGTAGGGAAATTAAGCCTTGGTTCCGATAAAAGCATATGTATATTACTAGTTTATTGTCTAATAGCATATTTTTGGGATCCTGTTCCACCGAAGCAGGACATGGAGCAATTCAACTCACGTTCTCTTCGGTTAAATTAAACAGAAAGCATTGACCAAATCAAGTTTTTCTGCTCATTATTTTCTTTGGGGTCACTCAGTTGAGAAACTTTGCTCATTCCTCCTGGCCTGATCAGACCTCAGCAAGAGACCAATTCCAGATTCCAGCAATGTTTTTCGTCTGCAAACTTTTGTCCTCACATGTTAGGTGCAATTAATATAGCTCATGGGCCAGACCAGTGAAATCATGGGAAGGTTTTTCTGGTAAGATCCAAGCCTTGAGAAATACTAAAAATTAAAAAGTAGTCAAGGAGTTTGCGTGGGGAGATATATTTGTGCCCTCTTTTTTAAAACACTTTATAAAACCTAGGCTAGGCTTTTGCTGATTCTGAAAGAGGGGTGGTCACTTCACCTGCTTACATATATTGGGAATTATTAGGAACCACTAGTTTGGCTCTTCTTACAGCTAGAGGGTTAATTACAACTCAGGATTTTTGTGTAATATATATTTCATTGTCATCCGTGACTTTGAATTTTTAATTTCTGAATTCATTTAAATTGTTTTAAATTCATCCATTGCGTCAACCATCATTAAAACACCATAAAATCTGATACCATAGTCTAAATAAATGTGTATATGGATGTCCATGCGATAGCCAGGATATATGTGGTAAAAAAAGGACTCATTTGATTGTTTGGATTAGAATTTATGCCACATGACATTGCGATAACATATTTTGTTAATTATTTATTATAGTTGATGAAATAAATGAATTTAAAATATTTTTTAAAAATTACATATTTAAAAATTAAATTTTAAAGTTTAAGGATGAAAATAAAATATTGCATTAAGGTTATGGATGAATTGTGCATTTTACTTAAAAAATTTAAGGATTAAGATGTAATTTTGGTTTTGGATAAATTCAATGATAGAGTTACTCAATTTTTATTGAGAGATTAAAGGTAAAGAGCGAAGAATAAGGGTTTTTTTTTTCTCAAAGAGAAATAAAGGTTAAATTCTTTTAAAACTAATATGTTGAACTTTAAAGTTAAAGAGAAAAAAGATGAATGAGGTATGTGGGGTCATTTTATTATTTTTTATTTACATTAGTTAGAAATTATTTTGAAGGAATTATTAAGGGAGAAAATATATGATACATAAACGATTTTAAAAATTTTGAGAGGCTACCATCACCCATAACTATACAAGCATCCGTCCTTGGGTAAATTAAGATTAAGATGCATATAGACAACAATTAGAATTTTGAAAATAATAATAACAATAAAATCTAACTAGAACTTTATAGGGTAGAAAATTAATGAAATTGTTGAAACTATTACCAAATGAAGGATTGATAATTGTAGACATATGCTAAGGAGAGAGGACGTGTTGTAATAAGTGAAACCAAATGCACTGAAGGTGGCAAAGAAGAAAGTTGGAGTAGTCTTTGAAACATAAGTACTTTGGTGATAGACGGTGAAGAATAAAAAAAAGTGGAGAAAACGATAAAGGATGAGAAGAGCTTAATAGAGAGATTAGTTGGAAGAGCCTTTAAAGAGTTTTGATAATAGTCTTTGCTGCATTTTTAGTAATTTCTTATTACCTTTCAACCTCCAAAACTTTCATATTCATATTAAATGGAAGCACTTTCTTAAGAATAATTGGAAGAAAACGTTTAATCATGAAGAATGTGCTTGTTATAAAAGAGCATGTTAAAAAATGACTTATTGGATATGAAACTCAATTACAAGAGAACGTGCTCATCATGAAAAACTTTTGAAGAATGGCTTATGGGATATTAAATGAATAACCATATAATTGGGTAGTGAGTGTTAATTTTAAGTAGTACATTAGCGACATTTGATGATGTACCACACGTACTCTTAAGAAAGGAAGAAAGAAAAGGATAAAATACATGTACTTCAAGAAAATATTAAAAGAAAGTTTTTTTAACTATGAGCCACCAAGTCAAGCTTTCTATAACATCTCAAATATGAAGATAACTCATAAATCCTTTCACTTGTTTTGAGTTATTTTTACTTCTCCGAATAAAATAGCTATTCCATGCTTGTTCTCATTTTGGAACATAATATATGATATAACTATTTTATGCTTGCTCTTATTGTGTTACACAATACTTTAAGAAATAATAATTAATTAAAATTGAGCATCTACAATAATCGAACAAAGGTTCTATTTAGAACTTAAAACTAATGAAAAGATAAAAAGGTTATTGCTATGTATAGCCAGAACAAGAATCATCCAACAAAACTTTGCCCTGCAATTGCAACCCCTCTTTAAGAAAAATCAATTCCTTGTTTTGAGACTTTCTCAGTGTGTCAATTAGATGCTATGGGCACTAACGTACAAGAAAACAGGTTATGGAAATGCTTAGGTCGTTTGTTCATTCGTTGCTTTTGGGATTCCAAGGTTGTCAAAAAGCCATATGAAAAGTGTGTAGGGTGGATTCTATCCACATATTGTCATCTTGCAAAGCCTATCCTCACATTAGCTACCATTTCACTGACCCAAAATCAGATGTATACATGTATCATCGTCATCATCTTGCCCATACTCTCACCCCACTTCCCTTCAATTATTATTATTATTTTGTTTGCAAGCTTTTTCATTGTGAGCAGAAGTTGTAGAGAGAGAGAGAGAGAGAACCTCTCATCTCTATCTTATGATTTCACATTTCAATCCAAATAACTAATTGACAAAACAAAATACCCATAAAAAAAGAAAGAAAGAAAGAGAATGACTGTTAATGGTGAAAAAGTAAATGCATAACTCATCTATGATTCAGCAGAAAGAAAAGAAAAAAAGTAGACAAGTACCATCAATGACCTTTACTCTCACCATGCTACAAGACAATAGAACCTGATATCAGATCACATTGTCATGTCTTATTCCATGGTACAAGTTAGTGCTTGCAATTTAGTGCCAAGGCAAATAAAAAAATAATTACTTGCAACTCCTTAGACAAAAAAAAAAAACTGTGAGCAATGAAATAATTAATCACATAATTTTTGGGTCTCCTGAATTAAGGTATTCTTAACTTCACATAGAACATAGCCCAGCTATGCTAAGCCTTTTTGAGAAGTCTTAGTAGATTGGGCTTTCGGTTTCGGGCCACATTGTGCCTAACCCGACCCAAGAAGACCGAAAACATGTCGGAACAAGCTGCTTTTTGTTTGTTTTTTTAGTTGTGACTTTTGTGGAATCGGGTCTCTTGTTGCCTAATAATCAAATTTATTGGACAAGTTCTGTATTATCTCATGCAAGTTGCAACCATATATACGTAACAGCAAATTGTTTGACATTGAGTAACGTCAGATCATGTAAAATCTCTCTACTGATCTCCAAATTAAAATTGAAATAGGCATCAACATCAAATGCAGCCATCTTTCTCTAAACAATGGAATACCATGCGACATAGAATGAAAGATTGAAGAGACAACCGCTGGGATTTCTATCTGAATGCACACCCAAAACTCTGTGGAAATTGTTTCATATTTGGGCTCTGGATCTCTTCCGCTATAAACGTTTGCTGCAACTCTTTGAAATTCTCATTTATTTGCCGGAATACTTTCCTGGTATCTATGCAACGGCGCATTGGAGCGGAGGAATTACTTGGCTTTGCTATTACCGCCAGCATCTTGTAAGCTGATTAGAAATTAATGCTCACATTGATGACATATTGTTTTACATACATACACATCCCCATTCACTAAGCAATCATATATTTCTGTCAAGTTGGCTCTCATATTGTCTCAAATGTTGCAGATCATCCCTGCTGTTTCAGCTCCCTCATAGAAACCTACATATTCCTCGTCCTTTGGGCACTAGAGGGTGTAGAATATCCTAACAAGCTAACTTATCTTTTATTATTATAAGTATTAAATGCATTCAGTTCAATGCATCATAATTTCTTTCATGATAATGAAGCTCCAGCTGTTGGTAACTTTTTCCGTTAATTACCAAATAGCTGTAGCATCATGCAATTATGCTTTCATTTTGCAAGCTGGCTTGGCTCTCCTGATTCATTCTTAGATCACCATTATGTCATTTTTGCGTCCTATATCCTCTACTCTCCACCAACCGTACCAGCTCTGTATATCCCTACAGTGTTCTTCCCCTTTC